GGATGGGAAGGGGAAACAAAGGAGGAGGCTACAATGCTTGATAAGAAATGTACTCATTATCTTGCCCATGTAATTGTAACTCCTCTGTACAGTATTTTCACAATAAAAAAAGAAACTCAGTTGAAAGCCTAAACAATAAACTAGACTATATAGAGGAATGTCTAATAGACCTTGAGACATATTACACTTTTGAAATATCACACTGATATAGAAAAAAAGAAAAAAGGAAGGAAGAGTTTACTTATGATTGTTGAGACATTATTAGATGATCCAGTATCCATATATCTAAAGAGGTGAACAATGAAGTTCAAATGTTACCAATATAATAAGCCATCTGGATATAAATAGATTAAATGAATAGACTTAAACGATATGTATATAAACAAACTGGTTCAATGAATTAAAAATAAGACACAAAAATACATAGTCCCTGGGTGCCAGTGGCTCACAGCTGTAATTCTAGTTATTCAGGAGGCTGAGATCTGAGGATAGTGGTTCAAAGCCAGCCCTGACAGGAAAGTCCATGAGGCTTTTTTTTAGTATATATATTTTTATTGTAAATATACTGTACAGAGGGGTTATAGTTACATGAATAAGTTAATGAGTATATTTCCTATTGAGCATTGTTACCTCCTCCATCCCTTCCCTCCCCACCTCCCCAACTACTCCCTCCCCACCTTGAAGTTGTAAAATTCGTTTTCAACATAGTGTCTTGTACATCTCATTGTTACAATGGGTCAACCTGTATCCTAATTTCAGCTTTTTGTTATTTCCTTTCCCTTCTCCAAATTAGGAAAGTATATAATGTTTCCCTGATTTGCAATAACTAGTATATGTCTACGACAAGCAGAAAAGGTCAAAAGCTATGTACATATGACCATATAACCTGATGCTAAGTGAAATGTATCCCAAGATAGGGACACAAGAGGTTTTATCTTTATTGCTGTTGTTTTTAATGTATTTATAATGTACCATGTGATTTTTTTGTTTGTTTTGTATGTTCTTCCCCCCATGGTATAATCCCTGTTTTCACTGTATTTGATTCTGGTGCCCTGCATCTTGCTTATATCTGAGACTCTTATCTCCAATTAACCACCACCAAACTGCAAGTGGCACTGTGGCTCAAGTGGTAGAGTGCTAGCTGTGAGCTAAAGGGCTGAAGGACAGTGCTCTCAGGCTCAAAGTTCAAGCCCCACTACTGACAAAAACAAAACACACACAAAAAAATGTTGCCTTCAAGAATATGTTATCTGACCAGTGAGGTCACACAGTGAAAGGTTGGAAAATAATATTCAAAACAATGGAATCCTAAGGCAAGAAGGACTAACTGCATGTATTATCTAACAAAGACAAACTATAAGAACAGAATGGTCACTACATAATGAGGAAAGCATTAATTCATCAAAAATACATGATTATAAATCTATATAAATCTAATCAGATTATTCATTTTTACAAACAAGCTATTAGAAATAAAGGAAGAGGTAGGCTTTGGTACAATTAAAGTTTGGGATTCCAAACACCAATGATTTTGCCAAGAAAGAAATCATAAAAGTATTCACAAGAAACACAGATGGACACACTACCAAGGAACACACTTAACCACGGAAGTGAAAGGCTGACATAATGAAAATTGCAAAATGTTGATGAAAGAAACTGAAGACAAAGATACGTCTCCTATTCATGTGGACTGGAATGACTGGTTTACTGTTCTATGCCCATAATGCTCAAAGTGATCTAATGAGTGAATGTAATCTCCATAGAAATTTCAATGACATTCTACACAGAAGCAGAAGGCAACATTAAATTCATATGAAAGCATAAAGGAGTCCAAATAGCCAAAATAACTATAACCAAAAAGAGTAAAACCAGAGCAATCACTAGTTCTGATTTCAAACCATATTAGAATCATAGTAACAAAAATATGATAGTAGACATGAATACAAACCCATAAACCAGTGAGACAGAAGAGAGAATGTAGAAAAGCCCAGGCATCTACATCTACAGCCAGCTGATTTGTCTCAAAGGTGCTAAAATGTACACGAGGAAAAAGGCAGCCTCATCTACATATGGTGCCAGGAACACTGGATATGCAAATGTGGAAGACTGAAACTTGACCTGTATCTTTCATTCTGTCCAAAAGAAATCAACTCTAAATGACCCAAAACCTTATTATAAGAGATGAAAGTCAAAAATTTCAGAAAATTAGTAGGGAAACACTTCCAGATAGGCAATGGGAATGATTTTCTTGGTTGGAGGCTAAAGCATAGGAAACAAAAGTAAATACTGACAACAAATGGAGTACAAGCATTCTCTTTTCGTTTCCTGGCCTCTGTTCTGCCCTTCCTACCATGATGGGTGAAACTGTGGCCCAAATAAACCCTTCCTCCTTTTAAGGTGCTCCATTTGGTTATTTTGACACAGGGACAAAAAGCTGACATAGAATATTGGGATTAAAGAAGTAAGCAATTGCTCCGAGTAAACCTTGTTGTCTTTAAACCTCTGGAAACTGGTGTTGAGAAAAGTTTGGAGAATCATGCTGAAAAAGAAAGCCTACCTGTCCATGGAGCTAGCTGGGTGGCTGTCTAGGAGCTCAGAATGCCATCAGAAACACAATGGAGTCTGTCCATGCAGTGTCAGATGGCAAAGAGGACTGTGTTGGGAATTGTGCTGGGAGTCATTAATGCCACAATAGTCAG